GTGAAACTCCATCTAAAAACAAAAAAACAAAACAAAACAAACAAAAAACAAACAAAACAAAACAAACAAAAAACAAAAACAAACAAACAAAAAAACACTAGTTTAAATCTTGACTATTTCTTTTACCTTCCTCATGGGGAATATAAGAGCCATTGCATGAGACTTCCCTCAAGCTACTGTGCTCCTTTCTCTCCACCAAAATATAGATAGTATGTAACCTCTTTCATTCTTTCTCAGCTATGATCTGGACCTGGGAAATTCCACACTTTTGCTCTAGATACCCCCCAGTTTTTCAGGAAAGTGGTACAAGTGATTATTTTTCTTCCATCTGCATTTTCTCTCCTTTCCATTGACATACCTGACCATTCCAAATTTCTTCTTCTCTTGAACTCCCTTGATTCATTATTTATGCCTTTCTGAATGTTTCTAGCTTGTGCTTTCTCCCTTATATTTTAATTCTCTCTGATTTTAATTAACCTTCCTCACTAAACTAGATTTCCTGAAGGCAGGGTCTCGATTTATTATATACATGTATATACACATCGTGTGTATGTATATAATATGTGTACATGTATGGACATATATGTATATACATATAGTGGTAAATATATATATCATACAATTCACTACCTTAACCATTTTGAATTGTGTAGTTCAGCCATGTTAAATACTTTCACATTGCTGTGCAATCTCCTGAACCCTTTTCATCTTGCAAAACTGGAACTCTGTATTCATTAAACAAGGATTTCCCATTCCCTTCTGCTCTAGCCCCTGGCACCCACCATTCTACTTTCTGACTCTATGAATTTGCTAATCTAGATATGTTATTGAAGTGAAATCACATAACAGTTATCCTTTTGTGACTGGCTTATTTCATTTACCAACCTCAAGGTTCAGCTATGTTATACTATGTAGCAGAATTTCCTCCCTTTGTGAGGTCAAGTAATTGTGAATTAAACGAATTCATTGTATGTATATACCACATTTTGTTTATTGTTCTCTCAATGAACACTTGGGCTGCTTCCACCATTTGGTTATTGGGAATAATGAAGCTATGAACATGAGTATACAAATATCTCTTTGAGGCTTTTCTTTTAATTTGGGGGATATATACTCAGAAGTGGAACTGTTGAATCACATAGTAATTCTATTTGTAAGTTTTTAAGGAACCATTATAACATTTTCCATAGTGGTTGCACAATATTAGTGCAGAAGGTGCACAATACTGCACAAGGGTTTCAATGTCTCCACATCTTTGCCAACACTTGTTATTTTCTAGGTTTTTTTTCGGTGATACCCATTCTAATGTGAGGTGGAGTCTCGTGGCTTTGATTTACATTTCTGATTAGTGAAGTTTAGCATCTTTTCATGTGATTGTTGGCCATTTGCAAATCTCTTTTGGAAATATATCTACCCAAGTCCTTTGCCCATTTTTAAATTGAGTTGTTTGCTTTTTATTGTTGGTTTTATTCATCTTTGAATCCCACATAGCATATATTCCATTGCTTTGCCCCACTTCTGGAAATGAGCTCAGAAAAGCTGAGTGCCTGTAAGTGGATTGACACAGAGGTTCTGGACTGTATAAGTATATACTCTGAGGTTCCAGTTGAGTTCACCTTTAGAGGCAATTGACAGGAGTATCATCAGAGGAAGACTCTTGAATGGGACATGCATTTCTCTATAAAAGTTTTCTCTATGAAAACTTTTATAGAGAAATAGACTTTTAGAAGGAAAGGTGATTTTGTTCTGGATTCAAACTCCTTAGGAAATTTGAAGGAGTCAATTTCCATGTTTTGGTGAGGAAATTACCTTAGGCTGAACTTCGGAGATATGCTATGCAGCAAAGGTCAAGACTCAGGGGAAACAAACCAGAGATCACATTGATAGTCTTCAGTGGTGGCTATTTTTTCATTCAGTAAACATCCATCATGTGCCTAAGAGCCAGATACCTGGCCAGAGGGTAGGAATAGAATGGCAATTTGGTCAAAGTTAAGTCATCTCAGTCTGTATCTATCAAGAGAGTTATTGGAAAACTAGGTGTAGAAATGTGTAAATATTAACCATTAATCTATGACTTCTTTTCCTATTTTCTTGACACTCAAATTTTGCTTTGATTTCCTTCATTGATGATTTAGATAATAAATTATAGTAGCTGATTGAAATGTGTCATTTTGAAAATGGTGGAAGAAAATAAAAGGTAATTTTCTCTTATTACTTAAAAAATCTGTTGTTAATTTGACTTCTACTTCTCCCCATCTATAGAACATAAAGTGTCTATGGAGCTAAAAAAAAAGTTTTTGTTGCTCAGAATCATCATTTCAGAGACTTGATCATAGCCAGTTTATAAGATGGCTAAGTGAAATAACATTTAAAAACTAGAAAAGTCAGGGCAACATCTTTCCTTTTTTTCCTTTCTTTTCTTTCTTTCTTTCTTATGTTTTTTGGTCTACCCATAAAAAAAGAGATTACTACGCAAATTAATAAGCAAGTGGGCAAACAAGTAAAGCATGCTTTTATTTAATAGCAAAGACATTTATCAGCAGGACTTTATTCACATAATGAATTTGCTAATTATAAATGAGTCCCATGTAGTATTTAAATAATTTACAAGATTTTTAGAAGTCTTAGAGTTCTGTCCCCTTCCACTTGTAACAATGTGATTGCAATCCTCAGGGATAAAGAATATTGCTTTCAAAATATCCTATTAGTCAGACTGTTCAATTTACTTAAACCAACATCCTCTTATCTGTTGCACTTCCTCTTCATGGCTGAAAACACTGAGGCCAAAATAAGCAGAGGGAGCAAGAGAGCATAGCATATAGGGCCTTTCAGGGTCTTGCTGCTGCCTGTTTTATACACCCTCAGTTTCCGCAACTCTTTGCCGTGCACACTGTGACCCAGATACAGTAAACTTCTTGTCAACTCTCAAAAACCAGTGCCCATGGCCAGGTGTAGTGGCTCGCACCTGTAATCTCAGTTCTTTGGGAAGCCAAGGTGGGAGAATCATCTGAGGCCAGGAGTACATGTCATCATGAGACATCATCTCTATTTTTTTTTTTAATTACCTTGGCATGGTGGCACATGCCTGAAGTCCCAGCTCCTCAGGAGCCTGAGGCAGGAGAATAACTTGAGCCAAGGAGTTCAAGACTACAGTGAGCTATGTTCATGCCAAGGCACACCAGCCCAGGTGACAGAGTGAGACCCATGTCTCTAAAATAAATAAAGTGTCCTTGGCCAGTACTGACCTTTGCCACATGCTCATCTGATGAGCTCCTGCTCATCATTTGTGACCCAGACAATAAACTTCATTGCCTTTTTTGAGCTACCTTTTCCAATGCCTGCAGGTACTCTGTCCCTCCTTTGACTGAATTCCCATAGCATTTGGCCCAGATCTTTGAGAAGTCTGATCATATTCAATGGCAATGATGTGCTTAAAAGGCTTTCTATCACACTGGAGTGTGAACCCCTGGAAGACAGGGACTCATGTTTTACCCTTTCCATTTATTTCTAAGTACCTAGCATAGTTTTTGGCCCAGTAGGAATTCAGTAAATATTGAGCAAAAGTTATTAGGATCATGATAGTAAATGGCAGTGACATCTAAAGGAGAAAAAATAAGAGTGACGCGGACTCTGAAGTTAAGAAGAAAGAACGTATGAAGAGATTAGGAGACAGGGGTCAGCAACAGAAGATGGAAATAGAGAAACACATGAAGAAAACAAGTATGAAGTGAAGAAATGAAGAAGTGAAGCCTGGGTTCTGGGAAGCAAAGTAACATGAAGAGTGGACTAATGAGGTGTGTGAAATTAGGGCATTTCTGAAGCTCATTTTTACCCACTTTTCCCTAGAGACAAATGGGGATGGAAGGAAGAAAAGGCCAGAGTGAGGAATAAGGCAACAAACCATCTATAGACTATGAGCTAGGCCTCCACATTTGGCCGGGGGCTGGGGCTGGCCTGCTCCCCTGACCTCTCCTGTTCTTCGGGTTCTCTATTCATATCCAGGCCTAAGCACTGTCTCTTCTTCTCTCTTCTGCATCAAGGGAGCCCCTGTGAGGCTGTCTGTATACACAAGTTCATATTTATGAGAACAAATGGGCATGTGTGTGTGCTTGCTTCCCACTGGGTGTTTGGGTTCATTTCACTCTGAAAAATAAGCCCAAAGGGCAGTGCCGTGGTAACTCCCCATCTGTCTCTGTCTTTGCTGTGTCAGAGAGTCTTTTACATAGCTGTGTGGAAAACACTGGCCTGCTCCTGAGCTTGCTGAACAGTTACACTGCATGAAGGGTGGAATGCTGTTGTAATGATGCATGTCAACATGCCATGGTATGTATTGTCTTTATGACAAAATTACTTTTCAGACTCACCAAGTTCTCTTCCTCACAGGAGATGTGCCACTTGATGGTCACGGCCTTTTGGAGTTATTATTCGGGTAACCAAAAAGTGTCTGGGGCTTACAGAAAGCAGCACAGTTCAGCCCTGGATAAAAGTCAGGAGCCCCGATTCCAAGTTAGGCTCTGCCACTTAGTCTAAGGCTGAGTTTTCTCATCTGTCAAGTGGGAGTAATCTCTTCCACCTACCTCATAGGGGTTGCTCTGAGGGTCAAATCACATGACATATAAATTTCCACACGTGACCAACATTCCACAGCTTATCAGTGATTTCTAGCACCATTCTCTCATCTGATCCTCTCAACAACCCTGCCAATTATTTTGATCCTCATTTTACAGATGAAGAAACTGAAGCATGAAGAGGTAAAGTAACTTGGCCAAAGCCACATGGCTAGTAAGCCAAGATGATGCAAATTTTCTGTTTCCATGCTTATCTTCAGTTATTCTTTGACACAAACCTGGCTATTTAGTGCTATTGGCTACATGGCCCTGTTTCTTAACTTCCCTCATGGCTCCTCCTCCCTGCAGCCTCTGAAGGTTCTCTGTGTAATGAATTAATTAGCTTTTTTTTTTTTTTTCTCCCTTTCCCCCACTCTTTTTCCTGACCTCTAGAAGAAAACACCAGCAGCCCCGGCAAAGAAAACCAGCACCACCTTCAACATCGTGGGGACCACCTATCCCATCAACCTGGCCAAGGACACTGAATTCTCCACCATCTCCAAGGGCGCTGCTCCCAGTGCCTCCTCAACCCCAACAATCATTGCTTCACCCAAGGCCACCTATGTGCAGGACAGCCCGACTGAGACCAAGACCTACAACAGTGTCAGCAAGGTTGACAAAATTTCCCGCATCATCTTTCCTGTGCTCTTTGCCATATTCAATCTGGTCTATTGGGCCACATATGTCAACCGGGAGTCAGCTATCAAGGGCATGATTCGCAAACAGTAGATAGTGGTGGTAGTGCAGCAACCAGAGCACTGTATACCCCATGAAGCATCCAGGCACCCAAATCCCAGGGCTCCCCTTCATGTATATCAGGATTCTTCTTTTACCCCTCTACGAAGCAGTGACTCTCAATTCATATTTATGAATCTCTATGAAAAAAATAACTACAGAAAAATTACTTGTCCCTCTAACATTGCTCAGTATACACCCATCAAAGCCAAACACTGCCATTTGTCCAGTTGCTCATCTTAGTCTGCCAGTCTCCCTCAGCTGAGGGCACTGCATGTATTTTATTGCACTCTGCCCACTGCAGAAAGAACAAGAGATTCTACTCTCTGTAGTGGAACCCTTGGCTGTTTGAGAGGCCCAGAAAAAGGAGAGTTGTTAACTGGCCATCCAGATCAGATGACTCTGACCTACTAGGCAGCCAAGTTGGGCTATACCATGTGATCCTGCCTGCTACCTCCCCTGCCTTCAAGAAGGCCTACTAGGCATAAATACTGATAGCAAAGTTGGGAGCCAGTTCTACACCCCCAACCCATTTCATGGTTTGGAGACTAGTGGGGACAATTGATACTAACCACTGTCTACCATGTATGGCCAAAATAAATAGAAATAGCTGTGCCAGCCTGGCACCAAGATGGCTAGTGCCCTACCACATCCAGCCCCTCAGGAAAATAGTCCCCTCTTTGGTACATCTCTCCTCCAGAAAAATCTTCCCCCACTGCCTTTGACCCCCTTGTAGCCAACTGGGCACTACTTAATTTGGAATCATGAAAACATGATCAAGTATTTTTTATTTAAATTAAAAAGTTGCAAATAGAAACAAAGTGATCTAGATTAAAAAATATTTTTTTTAAATATGGGAGAGATACAAAAGTCACTTCCCTGCCAAGACAACTAGCCTATACAGGATTAGGCAAGAGGTTTGGAATGGATGATAGTTGAGGATTGACGTGTGGCTCAAAAGAGAGGGCTACTGGCAGATGAAAATCAAATTCTTTCTTCCTCACACTCCATGCTCCACAGCCTGGCCCAGGCATTTTTCTCCCACCATATCAGGAATCTCTGGTCCTCTGTTGATGCCGATTCTATGAGGTGTAAATTACAAATTCATACAAATAATTATTGAGTCAACTAGATCATTAACTTTATTACCAATTTTATAATATATAATTTAGAGGCCATTTGTTCTTAATCTTAATGTGAGTAAAAGACACAGGCATAAATATGCAATTTTTATAAGATATATAAACTGAATCCCAGAAGTTTGAATGATTTGCCTAGGCTTCTTACAAGTGTCTTTAATAAAGAGCTATCATGTGCCCCTTTCCAAAGGCAAAAATAACAGATTGAGAAGCCAGGTCCACCATGACCTCAGAATCAGCACAATCTCAGCAGGACTTCTGGGTCATTAGTGGAACTTGGTTGGGCACCAAAAAGGTTTTTAGAAAGTCACAATGTGTCACTCAAGAAGATCACTTTTAATAGACTTAGCCCAAAAGAAAGACTGTTCATGATGGCAGCCCCAGCCACTTTGGATCTGAATACCTGCACTAGTCCAGAGTATCCTAGAAGCCCAGGGTAAAGCCACAGAGTGCACCACAAGCGGATTCTCCCTGCCCATCCCTTGAACAAAACTCCTAAGGGGTCTATCATTAGCTGCTGGTTGCCTTTTCATCCATCCTTTCCCTGTCCCCTGCTTCCTTGCCATTGCTGGGATAATGCATGCCAGTCCCATTATTCCTAAGACTGTGTATGTAGGTAAATTCATGACTAGAAGAGTGTAGTCTTGTGGATATGTGGGGATATGGGGGGGTGGGAGGGCGGGGCTGTTAATGATTGTCTTAAGGAATTTAGAATGGAAGCCTGACCTTTGCCTCTGTAGAAATTGTGTTTCCAAATGCTTTGGTGCAATGTTTAGCTGCTGTTTATTAAACCCTTTCTGAATTGTACTTGGTCTGAAGAACTTTCTTTGATCACTCTTTGCCTAACACAGACAGTACTATGTTCTTGAATTTCACCCCCAATCTCATGCCACCATTACTTTCCACTTCTTAACAACCATTAGAATATGATGGAAGAAAAGTGCCCCCAGAGCAAGAAATATATTGCAATGATCCAAAATGGAACTCGTGTGAAAACATAGCTTTGATTGACTTGAGGGTCTCATTACCCAATATGAAATATTATGAAACAGTACTACTGCTTCTTCTGCTAAATTCACCCACTTCCAGGAAATAGAGAAATGCATTTTCATTGCAATTCTAAAGGATTTATCTTTTCCACAGATTGTTATTTCCCTTTGGCAATAGTTCCCTTAGGCAATAGTTATTAGGCAAATTAAGAGTAAGTATTTTATTAGTTGAGCTATGTGTTGGGAAATGGATGATGACCCTTATTTCTTTCTTTCTTTCTTTTTTTTTTTTTTTTTTTTTTTTTGAGACGGAGTTTCACTCTTGTTACCCAGGCTGGAGTGCAATGGCACGATCTCGGCTCACCGCAACCTCCGCCTCCTGGGTTCAGGCAATTCTCCTGCCTCAGCCTCCTGAGTAGCTGGGATTATAGGCACGTGCCACCATGCCCAGCTAATTTTTTGTATTTTTAGTAGAGACGGGGTTTCACCATGTTGACCAGGATGGTCTCGATCTCTCGACCTCGTGATCCACCCGCCTCGGCCTTCCAAAGTGCTGGGATTACAGGCTTGAGCCACCGCGCCCGGCAATGACCCTTATTTCTTACAGAGTTAGAATAAATTTGGGAAATATTCTCATGAGATTTGCTTGAGGAAATCACTGGTTCCTAAGGGATGCGAAAAATCTTGGGAGAGTATGTCAGATCACATACGATTTTTTCTTATCTGAAGTAAAAGCAAGGACTTGCACCATCTGACACTCAATTAATGTTCCAGCTCTGACGAATGTCCTAATGCTGCAGCAATCCCACTGTCCCTGGCCAGTTCAGTCACAACCCCAGAACAACCATTTGACAGACAGGGGGCAGCTTGTTTTGTAAAATTGCCTGATACCAATATTTAAGTGTTGCTGTTTCTTTCAAAACCTTCTGAAACTGCTTTGCCTTTGAAAACTATTTCCTTAGTCTTAGGGGAAAGCTCAAGCTGTTCCCATTAGCAAATGTGTTGCTGAACTCTCCTAGAGTTTGAAACCCTGCCACAGGCTGGGACTGGTATTCTTGGACTTGAGTATTTATGGTATTCAGAGCATGAGGGAGATATCCCCATCAGTTCATTGAGGATGTCAGTCTAGAGGCTAGTGGAAGAATGTCTAACACATAGTAGGCCTTCGGTAAATGTTTATTGAATAAATGAATGGGAATCCAGACCAGAGCTACATGCGGGAGTGTTTCTTCATGGCAGTGTTGGAGAGGAGACTAGCCACATCATGATGAATGGAGACTAATAGAAACAAACAAATGTAATGTGCAGCCTTGTAAAGTAGTACTAATAAATGTGCTCTATTTTAAGCCACTTTATATAGTGTTTCCCTAATGAAATAGTTGTTTGCTCCTATGGGCTTTTAAATCTGAGGGTTCATTTAATGATCTATAAGTTTCTTGTGCTAGAGTACTGAAGGCAGGAAAGGAGGGCATGACTGAGCCCCAGACCCATCTGAAAGCTTCAAGCACAACCCACAGGCCTATCCAGGATGTGTCTGTGTTATGATAACCTTCAGAGGGCTACCCAGGCCCTGAATCTTTGCAAGCGGTCCAGCAGGAGATGGAACTAGGAAGGGGAAAGTAAGAGGAAGAAAGCAATTGGGAGAAATTCTGTTAAAGGTGCCCTAGAATTGGAAGCAGAGTCAGGGATCTCTCATTTCCAGATTCAACAGCTTTTAAATACACAAACTCCCTTTAGCCTGAGACCATTCATCATGTGACCATCTGTTGAAATAAGGGCCAAAGTGCTTGCCTTTGTTGATGGGAAAGGTGCTTTCTGGGGCCTCCCACCTTTCCTTTTCTTTGTTTTTAGTTGTATATATTTAAGGTGTATGACATAATATTTTGATAAACATATACATAGTGAAAAGACTACTATAGTCAGTTCTATCTATTCAACTATTGGGGGGTTTGTTTGTTAGGATTTTGTTGTTGTTTTTAGATTCTACATATAAGTGAGATCATGCAGTAATTGTCTTTCTGTGTCTGGCTTATTTCACTTAACGTGAGGTCCTTCAGTTCCATCCATGCTGTTGAAATGACAGGAGAAACCTAGACCTGTTCTGCCTTCTTTCTGCCTCAGCTCCAACAATTTGGTATCATGGGAAAAGCACTGAGAAAAAATGGACATCTGAATTTCAGCCAGGGTTCAATCCCATCATAATTGCTAAGTGATGTTGGCCAAGTCCCTCCCCTGAGCTGAGACCTAGATTCCCCATTAGTAAAACCAGATTTTGATCAGAGCCAAGTCAACAGAGTACCCAGCAGCTACCCTTAAGTATTACCACATCCTGTGCACTCCCCATTGATTGTGCTGCTGCTCTCACACCAGCCCATTCCAGGAACACAAATCCCATCTTTTCATTCCCTGTTACATAACTTGGAAGAGTTGGCAGCTTCAAAAGAATTTGATCAGACAGCAAGTAAGGACAACCAGGAGACTAAACCTGAAAATACAGAGGTCAAACTCTCAGGTCTAACTGATCTCCCCAGCCTCCCTACCCCATCCGACACTCAGAGCCTTGCCCTCAGCTCCATGTGGCAGGGTCTCCTGTGATGAGATACAGACTTATTAGTGGCTCAACTCCAATATTAGCATGGGAGAAGTTGGATCCTAAATTGAGGAGATTAAGGGGCTGCTGGTGCCAGGAAGGGGAGAGCAAAGAGCAGAAACAAAACAGACATTCCTCCTTTGTTTTGTTTCATTTTTTTTCTCTAAAGTTTCAGCTCAGAGGAGAACAGAAATTCTTAGAAGGGAACTCCCTAGACTTCTTATGAGAGAGCTCTTGGAATCTGCATATACAAGTTCTCCCTTCTCTGCTGTCACAGGAAAAGTGGTCTCCCTCTGTCTAAGGCCCAATCTCTCCTTTGTTTTTCATCTCTGCTCCTCTCTTCTCAAAGAATTCTAATTTTGTTATCTGCTCTCAGTGAAGCTGTTCTTGCTGAGTCACCACTGCCCTTGTTACTAAAACCTAAA